ACCCTGACCTCGCCGATCTGTATGAGGGGTGTCACCGAATTTCAGAAATGTAGCAAATCTCATGTGTTTTTGGACCCTGACCCCGCCGATCTGCGTGAGGGGTGACACCGAATGTTAGAAATGTGGCAAGTCCCTTGTGTTTTTGGACCCTGACCCCGCCGATCTGCGTGAGGGGTGCCACCGAATATTAGAAATGTGGCAAATCCCTTTTGTTTTTGGACCCTGACCCCGCCGATCTGCGTGAGGGGTGCCACCGAATTTCAGAAATGTGGCAAATCCCTTGTGTTTTTGGACCCTGACCCCGCCGATCTGCGTGAGTGGTGTAAATTTTTACCCACCCCAGCAATTCAGACAATACGATTTTGGGCGTGGTAAAAATGCCTGTTTCGGGCCTCCCCCCCTCGCGCGGTCCATCAACAAGGAACAGTAAGCAGCAAGAAGTCAACAAGGAACAATAAGCAGCAAGAAGCAGAACTGTAACAGTGGAAACTGGAAGCTGCAACTGGTACAGGAAACTGCGAACCTCCAGCCTACAGCCTGGTGGCCCCACAAGGGGGCCGGCGGACTTCCGACTTGCCTTCGAGGCCCCCAAAGCACCCCATGGGAGCTCCAAGACGGCCCCAGATGATACTGCAACAGCCCCAGAGCCGCTCCAGGAGCAACAACAGGCTCTCAAGAGACCTCGAGACGGCCTCCAGAAGCCCCAAAATCCAATTCCTGTAGGACAGAACACATTTCAGTATTTTGGTTTCGGTCTTCGCAGAGTCCAATATTGCCCAAGAGGCGCCGGAGGGGGTCCCAAAATGGTTCAGAGGGCTCCAAAACGAACCAAGAGAACCCTAAGACGGTCCACAGAACGCCCAAGGCAGCCAAAGCGAGTCCCGTGTGAGGCCCCGAAGAGGACCCGCAGAGGTCTCCGCGAGGACACAGCACTTTGCAGCCGCAGTAGCAGGGCGCGGCCATCTTTCGTATACTGTGCGCCGCAGGCAGTCTGGATCGGGTTGCTACGCGATTCCGTCACATTGCTTGGGCGTCTTCGGTGCCTCTTGGGACCGTCTTAGGCCCTCTCGGGACTTCCTTAGCCTGGCGTGGCCTGTTCCAGGGCGGGCCCGGGCCGCCTCTGGACCCGGGGCACTCTTGGGGCACTTTTGGGTTGTTTGGGGAGCCTCCTGGGCCATTTTGGGGCCCTCTTCGGGGCATCGTGGGCCGTCTTGGAACGATCTGAAGGGCCTCCCTCCGAGGCCGTGAGGGAGCGCTGGAAAGCGGGAAAAGCGAGAATGCCAAAATCCTTCCCAAAACCATCGGAACCAATGATGCTTGCCTCTGGGGGCTGTCTTGGAGAGCCTCTTGAGGACATCCTGACGTGTCTTGGAGGCGTCTTGAAACGTCTTGGCGCCATCTTGGGCGTCTTGGAGCAAGTTTGGTTGTCTCGGGGGCTTCCTGGGAGCATCCGGGAGCTCTTGAGAGGCGTCGCGAGGCCGCTGGGAGCCCCGGCACCCCTATGGGGGAATGGGTTTCCCCCCCCCAGGCCTTGGAATGCGGGTTATAAATAATGATATAAGTATATTGTATTGTATTCAAGTAAATTATACAAGTATAAGCATAAGTGTACATATATATATATATATATATATATGTATATATATATATATATACATATATATATATATACATATATATATATGCAAATATGAATGTGTTATATATATATGTATGTATTCATATATATATATGTATATACATTTTTATATATGTATGTATGTAATGTATGGATGTATGTATGTATATTATATATATATATATATATATATATATAATATATATATATGATCCCCGTGCACGAGGCCCGGGCGCTCGGGGCCCGGGGCCCGGGGGGGGGCATGGGAGGACTGGGGTTTCCCAGACCGCTCCCAGAGCACCCCGAAGCGGCCTTGGAGCTCCCAGGCTGCCCCAGAGAGCTCCCAGAAGCCCTCGGGGACTTCGACAAGCCCTCCAAGACAGCCCAGATAGCCCCAACGTGGCCCAAGATGGGTTCGATACCGCAAATACACAGCCCAAGAGGCCTCCCAGAGGCCTCAAGAGAGCTCTGAAAAGCATCCCGAGAGAGCCCGAAGAGGCCCAAATCATAGATGTCCATTGTTTTTTGTTTCCATGTTGTTTGGTTTCTCACGTGTTCGACCTCCCCACGCTCCAAGACGGCCGACGACGCTCCCAAGACCGCCCCAAGACCCCGAAGAGGCCCCCAAAAGAGCCCCGAGACGGCACAAGGGAGCTTGAAAATTGCCCAGGAGGGGCCCCAGACTGCTAAAGAGAGCCCCAGGACAGGCCCAAGCTGAGCCACAGAGCGCGAGCGGGAGGCGCCAAGGCGCTCCAAGACGGCCCAGATGGCCCCAACGTGGCCTCAGATGGGCCCGACAAGGCAAATATACAGCCCAAGAGGCTTCCAAGAGGCCTCAAGAGAGCTCCGAGAAGCATCCCGAGGAAGCCCGCAGAGGCCCGAATCATTGATTTTCAATTGTTTTCTCAATGTTTTTTGGTTTCTCGCGTTCTCGAGCTTCCAACGCTCCAAGGGCCGAAGACGCCCAGAAGATCGCCCCAAGACCGCCGAAGAGGCCCCCAAAAGACACCCAAAACGGCCCCAGAGAGCCTAAAGATTGCCCAAGAGCAGCCTAAGATTGCCCAAGAGAGTCCAGGAGAGGCCCAAGATGGGCCCCAGAGCGGGAGCGGGAGGCCCCAAGGCGCTCCAGGACGGCCCAGATGACCCCAACGTGGCCCAAGATGAGCTCAAGACGGCAAACACACAGCCCTCGAGAGAACCCGAAGAGGCCCAAATCCGTCTCGCGTTCTCGAGCTTCCAATGCTCCAAGACGGCCGAAGACGCCCCCAAGACCGCCCCAGGACCGCCGAAGAGGTTCCCAAAGGAGCCTTAAGACGGCCCCAGAGAGCCCGAGAATTGCCCAGGAGCAGCCCCAGACGGCCCAAGAGGCCCCAGGACAGGCCCAAGATGGGCCACAGAGCGGGAGCGGGAGGCCCCAGGGCGCTCGAAGACGGCCCAGATGGCCCAGGCCTCCCCTCTCCGTCCCTCCTTTCCTCCCGCCCCCTCCCGTTGCCTCCATTCCCTCCTCTCTCTCCTCTTCCTCCCCTCACCCCTCAGTTTTCGTGCTCCTCCCTCCTCTCCTGGGGCGGCCCCGCCAGAGCGCCAGACAGGCCCCGCCAGAGCGAGCGGGGCATCGCTATACAGTCCCCGTTTTTTCTTGTCCTCACACCGCACCCGAGGTAGCCCCGTCAGAGCAGGGTGACTATACAATAATGTTCCTCCGGTTGCGTGCTCCTCCCTCCCCTCCTGGGCAAGCCCCGCCAGAGCGCCAGGGAAACCCCCGCCAGAGAGAGCAGGGCATCCCTACACCATACTCTTTCACGCGATTTTTGTTCCACCCTTGCATGGCGGACCCGCCCGAGCGAGCGGGGTGTGGCTATACTAAACAATTTCTCCGGTTTCGTGCTCTTCCCTCACTTCTCCGCCAGAGCGCCAAGAAGGTTCCGCTAGAGGCCCCGTCAGAGCTCCAGGCAGCCCCGTACATGGGACTTGCCAGGCAAAGTATTGAGCACCCCCCGTGAGCCCGGACCTTCTGATCCCACGGGTGCGATTATCGCCGGCGTGAGGTTTGGCATCCAGCACAAAGAAGCTTCCCACTCCCGTGGACGGACTCGAGAACAACTGATTGCAGAAAAGGGCACTGATGACCGGGACATTTGCGCGCGCCCTCTGCAGATGCCCGACAGCTAGACGGCCGTTGAAAAGGAGAAGCCTGGAACACGAGGAGGAGAAAACGAAAGCAACGCGCTCCCGCGCGCGCACAGCGAGGCCCCGAACCAACCCCAATATCACGAGCCGGCGGATGTCCACGTGATCGGGCATGGGGAGACCGAACAGATGTGCAAAAGCATTGAGTGTCACGACGGGGCAGAGCGGAAGTGAAAGTGGAGGAAAAATGCAGCTCGAGAAACCAAATACAGGTGGCAGCGAGATTGTGAGATACGCGGGTGCGTGGCGCCCTGCGTTCTGACCACGGATTTCTTTGCATCGATGGCATGGGCCCGAGAACACTGGAAATCGCCGTTGTGGCCACAGCGGGGCTTACAGCGGCACCCGTGGCTCATCTGCGACTAGAACCTAAGCGCGCGTAGCGCGCGCGTGATTTTAGTATATACTTGCACGTATACATAGATCTAGGGAGGAAAGGCCACTTGGATCCCCGTGGTCGGCGTTTGGTCAGCGGCCCTGAGCGCCTATTGAACAGCACCGTCACGTTTGATTATTGATTTGAGCGCGTTGAATGAACGGCTTCGCTTGTCGAGGTGGTTATTATTGAGGTGGTCCTTCTGCTCTGCCATATAACATACAAGCGCGTACATATGAACCTATTGAAACAGATCCGCCCATCTCCCTCGCCGCAGACCCGCTGCCCTTCGAACGCGACGGCGGCGAGGGCGCCCCCACAGGGTCCATTTCGACCCGATCGATCCGATTCGATATCGATTTCGGCAGGCCCGATCCGATCCGCCTCCGATATTCACACGGTCCGATTCGGCCGATCCGATTCGGCCAATCCTGTATTCGGCGGCGGGCGAGGGGGGAAGTCGGAAAGAGAAGGCCTTTCTCAGAAGATGGCGGGGATTTTCAGAAACCCGCATGTTTTCTGAGAAGTTATCTGCGTCTTCGGGGAAGGCTTAGAGAACTGTTCAGAGGGGCGGGGGGCTTCGAACATTCTGAAAAGTCCTTTTCCTTTCCACTCTCCCCCCCTCGTTCGCCGCCGATGTATGCTGCTGTTGCGCACCCTGACGCAGCCGATCCGGTTCGATGTCGATCCCGTGCCGCTGCAGCCCGATCCGACGAAGATCCCGATTCGATCCGATCTCCGGACTCGGTGTTGATTGATGTTGCCTTCGAGCGCGACGGCGGCGAGGGCGCACCCGTCGCCCCCCCCCCCCCCCACAAGGGCAGCCAGCTCATCCGCCGGCCCAACGGCGCGGAGCGCCAGTACGTGCACGCTTGCTCATCGTGCGGCCAGGCCCGACGCTGCGCGCACTGTGTGCAATGGCGCCAGAGAACAGAGAGAGAGAGAGAAAGCCTTGCACGTCAGAGGCGCATTGGAAAGATTGTGAAACAACCTGCCATCATAATATTCGAACAGCACATAGAAGGCATAAGCATAATTCGTTGAGTTCTGTTCGGAATTCTTGACGCTTCGCGTATCCCCACCAGCCCATCCTACACCAGGCACTCGAACGAAGAGCGCCGATGATCGGCAGCTGTTCTCCTCCCCTCTTCCTCCTTCTCCTCCGCCTTCTCCTCCTCCTCCTCTCCTCCTCCTCCCTCCTCCTCCTCTCCTCCTCCTCCTCCTCCTCCTCCTCCTCCTCCTCCTCCTCCTCCTCCTCCTCCTCCTCCTCCTCCTCCTCCTCCTCCTCCTCCTCCTCCTCCGCCTCTTCCTCCTCCCTGGTGGCGTATTGGAAGTGTCTTCGAACGTTTTGGTGGGCTCTTGGGCCTTGCGGGCGGGCGGGCGGCGCTCCGCCCGCCCGCGCGCAGAGCCCAAGAGGGGGTCCAAGACGTCTTTTGGAACAGTCTTGGAGGAGATCGATCAACGAAGGGGGCTTCCCTAATTACAGCCCCCCCCCTCAGGAGCCACGATCCTCGTGAGGGGTGTCGAATTTTAGCCTTCCCAGGAGTCGATCTTGGACGCTCTAACTACCCGCGGCCCCCCCTGTCCAGGTCAGTGGGGAGGGGTAGGGGGAGGGGTAAACCCCTCCCCGAAGGGGAAGAAGGAGGGGTGGAAGAGGAAACGCTCTAAACCACCGACGCCCAGAGGGCTGGTGGGATTAGTTTGTACACTGAACGTGGCTTGGGTCGCGGGTGGGCCGCGGGTTCTCCACTGGGAACGAATGCAAAACATGCCCGCCGCACGCGCCGAACAATGTGGTTTGTGCCCTGAACGTGGTCGCGGGTGGGCCGCGGGCTCTCCACTTGAAACGAATGCAAAGGATGCCCGCCGCAGGCGCCGAAAAATGTGGTTTGTACCCTGAACGTGGTTTGGGTCGCGGGGGGCGAGTTGGTCAAAAAAAAAAAAAAAAAAAAAAAAAAAAACAACGCCGCAGGCGCCGAAAATGGTGGTTTGTACCTCGAACGCGGTTTGGGTCGCGGGTGGGTCGCGGGGTGGGTCGCGGGTGGGTCGCGGGTGGGCCGCGGGTGGGCCGCGGGTGGGTCGCGGGTGGGCCGCGGGGTGGGCCGCGGGCGGGTCGCGGGGTGGGTCGCGGGGTGGGTCGCGGGGTGGGTCGCGGGTGGGTCGCGGGGTGGGTCGCGGGTGGGTCGCGGGTGGGTCGCGGGGCGTGTTGCAGGTGGGACGACGACAACAAACAACAACAAACAACAACAACAACCACCACCAACAACAACAACAACAGTTAGAACCCGCACCGCGGAATTCCACTTCAGCCACGCACCCAGGGACAGTGAATGACCGTTCGGCCCCCTCACTCTGATCAGAAGCAGGCGGAGGAAGAGGTGGAGGAGGACTAGGAGGAGGAGGGGGCATCTTGGGAGCCCCTGGGGACACGTTTGGGGCCTCTTGGGAGTTTCTTGGGAGCCTGTTGGAGGCATCTTGGGGGCCTCCTTGTGCCTCTTGGGCGCCTTTGGGGGCTTCTCGGGTGCTTCTTTGGCCGACTTGGTGGGTTCCTGGCCCGTTTGGCGCCGTCGGAAGCCGTCTTGGGGGCCTCTCTGGGTCGACTTGGGGCCGTCTTGGGGTGCCCCAAGGCCGTCTTGGAGCCCAATATGGTCTTGGAGGCCACCTTGGGTTGTCTTTTTGGGGCCCTTTTGGGGCCGTCTTGGGGGCGTTCGCGTTTAAGTGGTTTTTTTCTCCCCAGCGCGAGGAAGCAGCTAGTGCAGCTCATCACGGAGGTGGAGATTCGTGGCACGTGGCCTTGGCAGCCCATGGTCATGTTGGTCAGCTGGCTGCGGAATGACGCAGGAGGCGACAGGGCGATCGGGTTGCTCCCAGATGTGGTGAAGGTGTGGTCCAAGATACGCCGCGAGTGCACCAACGAGTGGGTCGTCTCTCTGGCTGGCAAGTGGGACATAGCTGTGGCAGGCAACGGTGCGCTGAAGGAGGCGCTGGCCAGGTTCTTCAACGACGAGGTCATCGAGTGGGCGCCCCAGAAGATCTACACGGCGACGGTGCGATGGGACTTAGCGGAGTTCTACGACACCCTCGAGCCGCTGCTGATCCTGGAAGAAGGTGTCCGACTGGGGTTACCGTTGCGCACTTTACATTTGGAGGTGTTGAGCCACCTGAGCAACCGATTGGTCAGGGAGAACACGGCCTACGCAGAACCGGTCGCGCCAGAGAGGTCGATTTGCGCAGGGGCGAGGAGAGGAATCGACTTCACCAGGGTCGCTGCGTACGCGGTCTTGGAGATGGTCAGCACCAAGTTCCAGCAGGTGCACGCCAGGTCGCGGGCCGAAGATGTCACGACCAGGACCGAGGGCTCCAAGGCGGAGGTGGTGCGGCAGCTGACGTGCGCAGGGGTGGACTTCGCAGCGGGGGCGAAGTAGGCCAAGCTGGCGTTGTCCAAGAAGTCAGCGGTGATCGGCAACGACAGGGAGGTCACGCAGGAGATCGCCCCACGGTTGCGCAGTCTCAACATCACCGTCTCGCTAAAGGAGCAGGCGCTCGACGTGGGCACCCACTGGGGCAGCATTGCCAAGAGCAAGTTCAAGCACGCCACGCGGGTGGCGCACGCGGACAGGCAGGGGGAGGCGGCGATGAGGATGTCACGCGGTGGGCGAAGGGCCAGAAGGGGGAGCTCGCATGGCGGCGCAAAGGGGATCGCTGCCGAGGGCGGCGTACGCAAGCAAGGTGTTCGGCATGTCGCCGTCCACGATCAGAACGTGGAGGAGGGGGCTAGGCAACGTAATCGCGCCCAGACTGAGCGGAAGGTGCCTAACTACCTTCCTGCAGCTGGAGCTGGGGAAGAGCGACCCAGGCCGCCGTCCTATCTTCGCGCTGCTCGACTCCTGGATGCACGTTATTTGCGGCGAGCAGAGGAGGACGCAGGCGGCCCTGATCTGGGGGCTCGTGGCGCGGGCCATGGAGTCGAAGAAGACTTGCGACCGCTCGAGAGGGGTAGCAGGAGTGACGCGCGCCATGGCGCGCACGCTGATGGACCTGAGGTGGGCGCCGCGCGGCCCCTGGCACAGGGCCCCGACTTCGGCGCGGAGTTCGGCGGAGTCGACGACGGCGACATCGACGCCGACGCGGGCGCCAGCGAGCTGAAGATGGCCATCGCCGAGAGCATCGAGCGGAGACAGTGGAGCAAGGCTGCAGAGCACTACGCAGACGGAAGACTCGAAGAAGGAGCATATCTTCCATCGGCAAGGGCGTCGCTGCGCAGGCTTCGCAAGCAGGGCGACTTCGAGAAGCCGGGGGCCTTGGCCGCCATCTGCGCGGGCAGGGTGTGGCCGCGGCAGCGCGTCGCCGACTTGGGCTTGGGGATCGAGGGCTCTACGTGCCCGAGGTGCGACGAGGAGCACGAGGCGCGGGGACATCGCATGCGGGCGCGCAAGTACAACGACGCCCTGGAGATCTGCGAGAAGACGACAAGGCTGCAGGAGAAGGCAGAGGAAGGCGAGGCGACGCAGCTGGCTCAGGGGCATTGCGCCGAAGAGCTGGGCGCAGGCGCAGGCGCCACCAGAGCCAGGCGAGGAGCTGCGCGAGATCGCGAGCGGGCCGTTTGCTCTCGAGGAGGAGGCGCGGGCGAACATCGAACGCGCGCAGGACGCGCGCGCGAGGGGAATCGCCTGGGGCTGGGTGCTCAACACCGAGGAGGGCGGCAGCAGGCGCAGCGTGGGCGGCGGGGGCGGCCTACCAGGATGGCGTCAGAGTGTCAACAGGGGCGAGCTCTACGCGCCGGTTGGAGCCGTGGAGCATTTCGAGACCCACGGGAGGACAGGGTACGTCGCCGATTCGGGTTACGCGATGCGAGGCGCGGCCAATATCGAGAGGGGGGGATGCCGAAGACGCGCGAGGGCCTGTGGAGCAGATGCAGGCGGGCGCTGGCGGGAAGGCAGGTCGTTGCGGTCAAGATCAAGAGCCGCATGCGCATCGCCGATGCCGCCAACAGCGGGGTGAACATGGCGGATTTCGTTGAAAACCACCTGGCGGGCGAGTTCGTGGAGGGCGTCGCCGGCGAGGCGCAGGCGCCGGGGAGCGAGGTGCAGCGCGCGAAGTGCGCGGAAGAGGTGGCGGCGCATAGCAGGGGGGGGGGCCCACGCGACGCCGACGGCGGCAGCGGAGGCAGAGCCATCGCAGCCAAGGCCGACGAAGCAAGAGCGGAATAAGGCGAAGACGGAGCTCGAGAAGCGAGAGGGGATGGCACAGAGGAGCAGCCGCGACATCGTCGAGGACGGGGGCCGTCACCTCCGTTGCAGACGGTGCACTTCGCGAGTGGCGAGGCGCAAATGCGAGGCGTGGGTTGCGGAACAGCGCGCGCCGACCAAGGCTGCGCAGACGACGCCGATAGGCGCCGGGGCTGCGATCGGACAGATCGGCGCGCAGAAGCCGCGCCCCACACGCGCGACCGAGTTCGACGAGACGCTGGAGGTGTACTACTGCGCGGTCTGCCATCGCCAGGGGGCGCGCGAAGGACCTGGGCAAGCCCTGCAGCGGCAGAGCTACCAAGCAGGGCGCCACGAACCTAGCCAGGATCGCGAAGGGGCTGCAGCCGGGCAGCTCACCACTGGCACGGGCGCACTACGCGGCGCGGACGAAGAGCATCAGTAACGAAGAGGAGAAGGGCGGGCGTCAGAACGCAGGGGGGCCTTCTGCCCCGCCGCTGAGATTGCGCTCAGCGGCTAACTTGGAGGGTTGCGTCGTGCGTTTTGCTGGCAATGACGCCTCGAGTCAGAACGCAGGGAGGGCGTCCGCCCCCGCCGCTGAGTGCATCCACAGCGGCTAACTTGGATGGCGACGCAGTGCGCTGTGCTGGCGGCGGCGACTCGAGTCAGATCGCAGGGGGGCCT